GATGGCGAATTCAGTGGTAACTGCGCTTCTGATGGTCCTAGGGTTCACTTTGGTGATTTTATGCTCGAGGAGTATCTCGACGGTGCTGAAGTTGATGTTGATATGATAATGTGTGGTGATAAGTGTGTGTATGCAGCAGTGCATGACAACGGTCCTACTGTTGAGCCTTACTTCATGGAGACGTGGGATGTCATGCCCAGTATGCTTCCGAAAGATCAGGTTGAAAGTCTGGAGAAAATGGCGGTTGATTCCGTACGTGCTATGGGTTTCACTGATGGTGTTTTTCATGTTGAAGGCAAGTACACTGGTCGTCGAGGTGCAAGGCTCATCGAAGTGAACGCTAGGTTGGGAGGTGGGCCTATTTACATTATGAACAAGATTGCTAATGGTGTGGACTTGGTTGATGAAGCACTACTGTTGTCTGTTGGGATTCCTAGTGCACCGGTTGAGCTCCCATGGGAGAAGCGTTATGCTATCGCATGCTCAACAATCAATGCTGTTAAGTCTGGTGTGGTATCGGATTTGTCGTTCATTGAACAATGGAATTGTATGGAAGGCGTTGAAGTAGTGAGTAATACCCCGCTTGTTAAGAAAGGAGAGCACATAGTGGGGCCTGAGGAAGGTCAGCCCACGTGGTTGGAGGACATCATTTTCAAGGCCCCTGTGGAAGATTTGATGCTTGTTGGCGACCTCGCTATTAAGCTTGATAAGGAGGCGGCTGAGGAGTTCGAGAGGCACTATGTATAATGGAGAAAGCCGTCGCCAACTTGGTGTTGTTGTTTTTTGTCTGCTGTACTGGTTGATAAGAGCTCATACCAGTTTTCCGCCGAATTTCGTCGAGGCAATGGATGTAGCTCTCGTCAAAACTGTTGGCAGAGTCTCCAAGGCTAGTGCTGCTGAGGAGTCGCTGTGCGATCCGTCTTGTTGTTTTTCCGTCTATGATTCTATACTATGTAAGTGTGCATCTTGATAAGGTGCATTGAATGCCCTATTATTTCGTTTCTCACATTGATCTGATGTGTAGTTGGTGATAGTAGTTTTACTTT